TATTTGATTTTTTTAATATTAGTATTATAAATGTTCAATTTATATCTGATATTTCTTGCTAATGTTTATCGGTTGATAAGCGCAGTTTTGTGTGCAAACTAGACACACCAAACATGTTAGACTAGCATTCGAACGAAAATTTAATAATGTCGGCATTATCGTTATAATAATCAGTAAAACAATCGTTATGATGCAAAATAGCTTTTATTATACAGATAATGCCGAAATCAAAACCGGCCGAAAAATCATTCGGCCAATTTTTATCAGGTGTTACAGGAATTATGAAAATAGCAGTAATCCGGATATAAAAAATATATCCGGATTGAGGTATTAACTCTATATCCAACATTCAAAAATTTTTTATTCGAATCAATCGGTTTAATATTTTTATTATATACTATGATATACACTCTCCTAATTTTAAATTACCAATATATTATCTATATACATTACTAAATAAATGTACATTTGTTCACTCTAATTGAAGTCGAACTTTAAATCAAAAAAATAAAAGAATTTTTTTATCACATGTACAGCAACTTAAAAAATGATACATAGTTAACCAGTTATGGCAATCGGATTCTCATCCCTTTCCAGTCGCTTTAAGGCTAGCCGTTTTAGAATTGGAATTAGCAGATTCCAAGCTAGGTTTAATTTGTTTAATTTGTTTAAGATGTCTAATATTTTTAATACGTCGGTGAAATGATCCAATAGCTCCATTTTCAGTATCGTCCACTTCGTCGATCTCATCATTTTCATCATTTACATCGTCATTCGTAATTATTTTAAGTTTATTCTTTACCTTTTTTGAATGTTTCGACTTTTTTTTGTGCTTTTTTGACTTTTTTGTTTTAGAGTTTTCATCAAGAGAAGTGTTTTCATCGTCATTTTCACTATCTTTTTCAATATCTTTTTCATTATCTTTTTTATTATCTTTTTCACCAACATTTAAATTAATATTAATATTTGGATTTGAATTCTGATCGTTGCTTGTAGATTTTCCACCAATTTTTTTCTTTTTATCTATACATAACAGATCTTTAGGATTATATGTAAGTGTTGCTGAATTACTAGGAGGGCATAATGAAATTTTGTTATGTAATTTATGTCCTCGGTCGACGATCTTTTTTAATGTTACAACTCTACCGAAAAGATCCATTATCGGTAAATTTCTATAATCGGGTAAAACACCATTTGGTAATCCTTCAGATATAATATCTTTTTTCATAAGTGGTAAGAGAAAACCTTTTTTGGGTTTTCCATTTTTTAGATGAACATGTACTCCTTCCTCATGATGATTAGTGGAAAGGCTGACGAAATTATTATAATTTGGGTAGAGCATTACATAACCTCGAAGATAAATAAGTTCAACGAAAAAACGCTTCCAAGAATTACTCCACCTATTTGAACGGCTATCAGGAACAATGATTTCCTGTAAATTAGGTCCATTAGCATCCTTTAATCGTGCAGTTATATAATGATGAAATTCACGCCATATTTCAGGGAAAACTACTGAACCCCAACTACATGGTATTTGACAAAGGTATGGACTTCGTCTGTCATATTTTGTAGGATCCAAAACAAGTGCAGCATTAAATTTTTTTTGTTTAGGCAAAGTTAATTCGACATGTTTTGAATTGTAAAGGCTGACACCAAACATTCTACCACTTAAAATTCGATCAGGACCATATCTATATTTTAAAATATTATATTTCGCCCAAATGTAGTAAAGTGGTGAAAGTTCAATATCATCTTCTAAAATGATCCCATAATCATTATTATCAGCAGGATAAAAAGATTCCACAACAGCTGCAACCAATCCACCCTGAACTAATCTATGACGAACTTTTTTTTCACCAAAACGCCATTCAAAATCTTGAGTATATTTAAGAGTTTTTGGATCAGCGTCTTCATCAATATTTATGGTGAGATGTACATTGTCACCAAGATAAATTGATGAATTAAGTGAGTCAACGAGACGCTTTAAAGAAGCTGGACGATTTTGTGTGACTACTTGTATATGAAAGTTTGGCGTATTCCAGTCTAAAATGTATAAATAATACAAACGTAAATTAGATAATCACTAATATAAGAAATAAAAAATAATATAAGAAATAAAAATAGGTTACTTACGTTTAAGTGCTTCAA